TGTATGTGTTGTGTATGTGTATGTGTATTCTTATGTGTATGTGTATGTGTATGTGTATGTGTATGTGTCTGTATATGTAAATGTATATGTATATGTATATGTATATGTGTATGTGGGTATGTCTCTTTATATGTATCTGTATAGACATGCATATGTATGTGTATGTATATGTATATGTGTATGTACGTCTATGTCTATGTATGTGTATGTGTATGTGTATCTGTATGTGTATGTGTTGGCCTATGTGTATGAGAATGTGTATGTATATATGTAGGTATGTATGCAAGAACGTATGTATGTACGTATGTATGTACGTATGTATGTGTGTATGTACTGAATTTAGATCCCAAAGACCTATGTCGCGTTCAAACAGCCTCAGCAGCTGTCGTGGTGAAAACCTAGCAACTTTAGTCAGCATAGGCATTGGGTACATTATCATATGGGAGTTTCCGAAAATAGGGGACCCTAACATAATACCCTAAATAGTCGGTCCCTTATTATAAGGACCCCCCAAATACGGTACCCCTATTTCGGAAACTCCCATATCACAGTGACTACAGTTTACGCATCCCCCACACCCTGGTGGCCCGCATATTGGCAGATGCCTGCTGCACGACCCTAAGCCCCCCAAAAAGGCAGTTGAACTGGTATGTTGTTCTCGTACCGACCTAAACCTTGTCTTGAAAAAGGCTGTTAAACTCGTATGTTGTTCCTTATGGGTCTTCGGAGTAACCACCTAAGCGTTGTCTTGAAATCCTCAGAAGGGCGGGCCCATAGACAGACCCCGAACGGCAGAATCCGCAGAATTCGGAACCATGAACAACTTAGGGGCTGAGTACCCTAGCCCCCAAAAAGGTTAACCTTTTGAATTATAGTAGGATGATATAAGCCCCAGAAGGTTAAAGGTTATCTACTCAGCCCCTAAGACAAGGTACCCCCATGTGGGCTTGCTTGCTCAACAACTGTACGCGTAAACTACATGGGTGGTTGTCAAAACTATGGTCCCTTTTTGCGGCACCTATTATTTGGGGTACCCCAAAAGGGACCATAATTTTGACAACTACCCACATGCAAACTTCACGGGTCGACCCATACGGCCGGAATCACGCCCAAACGGCCCTGCTGTCGGATCTCAATACTTTGAGTCAAGTATTGGGTTGTGAGAACGGACCGGAAGTTCGAGAATTATACACTGCACATCCAACCCCAAATCCTTCAACGACGCAGGAATTCTACCAGAAACGAATCCAAATCAACACTTCAGAACCTCAGCCCTACACTCTGCACCCTGAACTTAAAACCTGAACTCCAAGTCTTCGAGAGGGGCGCCTGGGAAATGTTCTGGTAGGCAGCCTGAACGCCCGAGACAGGGACACCTTGCGTAGCCACCTGGCCATCGATCGGATTCCGGATCCGGCTTAAGGTTTGAAGTCCGGAGACGAATGGTTAAATCTCTCTGTAAAGTAGCTCCTTGTATCCATCGATCTGGGGGTTTCCGAAAATAGGGGACCCTAATATAGCACCCTAAATCGTAGGACCCTTAATATAAGGACCCCCAAATAAGGCACCCCTAATTTTCGGAAACTCCCATCTACCTACCAATCTATCTATCTGTCTGCCCAGAGGCGGGAACAACCGACACCATGGAGGAACTGCTATGACCAGGAAGAAGGAAACGACGACGAACTAAGCCCCAACCAAACACGTCCAGGGAACCCTAAACCCTAAACCCTAAGGGAACCTCTAGCGAGAGCAGCACCAGAGCACATCTGGCCAGCTTGAAAATCAGCTTCGACTCCTTTGCAGCAACTGGGGGCTGAAGCTTTCCGGGGGCTCGGATGAGGGCTGACGGCTAGGCATCCGTGGGTTTTTTCGGCCTTGGGTACCTACAGTAGCAAGTCGGATTATAAGTAAGGTAGCTACAGCTATACCCCCGATTCACTTGACAGTATACTTACTGAGCCCTGTCACCTTTCAAGAACCACCAAAATTCACCAGAAACACCCAAACCCTCTTAGGAAACCCTGAACTTCTGAACGGCACCATGAGAGGGAACGTTTAAGATGGTCTCAGTCCGCTTGGCTGACTTCTGAATGCCTGCTAAAAGTTAAACTTTTAGCATCCTTCGTCTTACTTCCCCAATAAGCCAGGGAAATGAAGGGTTACACTTTCAGATTACTACTAAGTATTATAGTTCATAGAGAAACCCAAGAAAGTTCAAGTCCTAAGAGCCAACCAGAAGAACGCCAAGTTTGGCTCTCTGAAACCCTAAGTACAGGTCCTTGAGGTCTTTCATGTCCATAAGGCCCATCACCTGCAGAAACCCTGGGAGTTAGGATTAGGGGGACCATCTCAATAAGGTCCCCTTCAAAAGAGCCATAAGTAGGGTTAAGAAGGGCCCCCTTTAAGGGGTCTCCCTAATACTACCTAGGAAACCCCAAACCCTAAACCCTTATTTAAAGATTTTAGGTTTAGGGGCCTTTAGGTTTTTAGGTGTCTCTCTTGAAGTGGAATGAACCCTTTTACAGTACGATTTAAGGTTTTAGGGCTTGGGGTTTTGGGAACTTTTGGTTTAGCGCCTCAGGTGTATATAAAGTATAAGGGCTTGGGCTTTAGGGTTTAGGGCTTCGGTTTTAGGGTTTAGGGTATTTAGAGTTTTGGGGGGCTGCTTGGGTTTCGTATGGGCTTCACGGTTTACAGAATTTAAGGCTGTCGGGCTTCCAGAGGAATACGGTTTAAGGCTCATCTGGTGTTGTAGGTTTTCATGCGCTTGAAACTGGTGTATGCGTGGGTGCTTTGTAGGACAATGGTGTCGGTGTTTTTTGTCCCACAAACCAGCGCGAGCGGCTTATGCGTCTCGAACTTTTTTTCGGAGTTGCGGGGGCTATGGGTTCAGTGCTGTCGGGCTTCAACGCTGGGGTCGTGAGGCCTTATTGTAGCAAAGGCTTGCCCAGAGACTCCAAAGCTCTAAAGCTGAACTTACTTTCCCAATAAGCCAGGGAACTAAAAGATTAAACTTTCAGGTTACCACTAAGTTATCAGAACCGAACAAAATTTAAAGGTTGGGGATTGGAGAACTAAGTGAAGCAGTATACCTCAGGGACAGGGATTCCTAATACGTATTATGGGGGGGCTGTTTGGGTTGCGGGCAGAGGTTGCGAGTATGATAGAGACAGAGTATACATGCAGTATACCTGCGCGGGGTCTATACAGCGAACAATCTGACTACTTAAACCCCTAAACCCTAAACCCTAAACCCTAAACCCTAAACCCTTGACTACTTGCAAAGCTAAACCGAGCCCTAAACCTGAAACCCTAAACCCCGGACCCTACACCGTAAACCCCAAACCCTAAACCCAAACCCCCCAACCCTGAACACTAAACCATAACTCCCTATAAACCCTAGACCCTAAATTCCTAAACAACCTGAAGCCTACACCGTAAACCCTAAACCTGCGAAATTGAACTGCTGGAAGGAGCTCGTAGGATTCGGGATTTGAGAACCCCCGGAGGATCTGGACAGTAGATCCCGTACACGAAGTCCCCTGCATTGCCCCGCGAAGTCCCGTACCTAACTACTCAAAGGAACCCCTAGAGGGATAACTTATAAAGCTATAGACTATACGTGTAGACTTACGTATAGTCTATAAAAACCTGTCGAAGCTCCTCTAAACCCTAAGAAAACCTCAAGACAAATCCTGAACAGATCCATATAGAACTTCGACGAACCTAGAGAACGCCTACTGTAAGCAAAAACCCATACTAACCCTACACAAGACCTTAGAATCACTCGACACCTCGCGGAGGAGGCGAGGCGCCAAGGACATCTCGGGGCTTTTACCCGCCTGCGCAGAAAGCTGAAGGTTTTACTTGGAGAGAAAAGGGGACATTGAAAGCAGACCCTAAACCCTAAACCATAAAACCCTAAACCCTAAACCGTAGAATTACAAGTCTCAGAATTCCAAGTAGGATCTCTTTTCGGGTACTTATAACGTTGTAGGGCTTCAGGGCTCAGGAGCTTTGGGGTTTAGGGCTTTCGTACTTATCTTCTGCGTACCCTAGTCCAAAAAAAGGTTAACCTCCAAACTACAGAAGGATTCCAGGAATCCCAAAACCCCGGGAAGCCTAAACCCCTCAACCCCTAAACCCTAAACCCAAGGCTAAGTTTTACCCAGCCCCTAAGTTCAAAATTAAGGGCTCAGGGTCTTTAGTGTTTAGGGTGTCGGCTTTCGTGTGAGGCTGTCATGTAGGGGCCTTCATAGTTTGGAATAGGGTCTTGGGGTATATTATACTAGAGTTCCTGCATAGATCCCTCGAAAAGGAACCCTTCGAGGTTTCCTATCCCTAGGGTTTAGGGTTTAGGGTTTAGGGTCGATGATGAGCTGGAGGATTTACCGCACTCCTTTTCTAGGTTGGCCCCTCAAAGCATCTGAAGCATATTCCCAAATAATGTCTCTCTAAGCCCAACAAGGGAAAAATGTAAAGTGTCCCAAAGGCCTACGTAATTTTGGTAGGAAAGCACGAAAGGAGACCTTCAAGGCTTCCAGCTTCAGGGGCTTATCGGCCCTAAACCCTACCCGGTTTAGGGTTTAGGGTTTAGGGTTTGGGGATTAATGTGTGTATAAGGGGTGACAGATTACCGGCTTCCAGGCCACTTTGTGTGGGAATCTGGCCACCTTAAGCAAGGTAAATGTACCAATTGTTTAGGGCCTGTCCCTTTTTACAGCCCTAAACCCAAAGCCCCTACACCAATTGTTTAGGGCCATGTCCTTTTTACTTTTTACAGGTACCCCTAAACCTTAAGCCCCTACACCAATTGTTTAGGGCCATGTCCCGTTTTTGCAGGTACCCCTAAACCCAAAGCCTTGTTTAGGGCCATGTCCGTTTCGTACAGGTCCCCCCTAAACCCTAAACCCCTACACCAATTGTTTAGGGCCCTGTCCCTTCTTTACAGGTACCCCTAAACCCTAAGCCTCTACACCAATTGTTTAGGGCCATGTCCCTTTTTTACGGGTACCCCTAATGGTACTGAAAGGTTGGGTTGGGGGTTTAGGGGTTTAGGGGTCTAGGGTGTAGCAGTTTAGGGGTTTGGGGTTTAGGGTTTTTGCGGGGGTCAGGGTTAGGCCCGAAACCCTAAACCCTAAAGGGTTTGTTTATGTTGGGTCTGGGGGTTGAGGGCTTATAGGGTTTAGGGTCTAGTGTTCAGGGCTTAAAACCCTAAACCCTAAAGGGTTTATGTTGGTTTTGTGGGTGTTTAGGATGGGGGTCGGGAGTTAAGGCATTGTGTCCTCAACCCTGCAAGGCCCTTAAAAGCCTTGCGAGCAAGACTATCAAGCTACTACCAATTTCAGATGCCCAAACCCTGTAAGCTAAGACCTGAACATCCTGAGCCCAGAAAGCACCCTGCAAGTAAATTCCAGGAAGATACCTGATTAAAACCTGGCCTTCATGTCTGTCGCCAGGACCCATGTTCGTTCACAAAGCTCCGACACAAACTCCGTCTGCTTCCTCTTCTCCTTCAGCAAAGGTTACTCAAGGTTTTTCGGTTTTGAAGTACCTAAACCCTAAACCCCTAAACCCCTGAACCCCAAACGCGAAACCCGCCTGAACCCCAATTTTAAGGTGCAGGTTTCCAGGCTTTAAAGCATTTGCTCAGAATCCCGGGTCTGGAAAATTTCCACTACTACGACTACAACGATCACGAAGGCTACTGATGTTTGGGGTTTAGGGTTTAGGGTTTACTACTGCTGCTGCCTGCCACTACTGCTTCCGCGAGTACTACGACGACGACTACTACTTTTGTAATTCTTCGGATAATACTATGCTGCAACGACTTCTGCTACTAGACAGCAACGCAGCTTCCTCTGCCTCTAGAACACTACTGCTACTGCTGCCACTGCCCTTATCAGTACCAAGTGCCAATCCCGCTACTTCGCCGGAGTCTACAAAAACACACATATCAGAACATTACCGCTCGCTCAAACCCATGCTTAAGACCCTAAACAACATACCTCAGGTCTTGCGTCGTATAAGCGACTATGTAAACCGTCTGAAACGTATGGATTTTGAAGGAACACCAATCCCCGCAGAAACCCCAGCCTTAAACAGCCCTGCACAAGGCTGTTCAGTAACCCACTAAAGAAAAAACGTACGTGCTTTTGAGTAAGTCAAGTATCATAAAACCTCAGAGACAGAAAAAACAAGTATGCCGCTGACACAACTTCGGTTCATCAAAGCAGAAGCCCCAAAGCACTAAACCCTAAACCCTGGGCCCAAAAAAGGCAACCTCAAACTCCCTTGCCAAACGCCCGCAGATGGGTGCCCGCGCTTTGGAGGCTGCTAGGGACTGGAGCTTGGTCAGCACGACCTGCAGGTATCATGGTAATGGTGTGTTAATATGTTTGGAAAGCGAAGTAGCTGGGGGATTTAGGTGCAATCGAGCTTTTCCTAGCTGCTGCTTTGGTCTCAAGACGTCTGCAGTATATACATGCGTTTCACTGCAACTCAAACTCTAGCACTATTATAAGTACTGCAAGAAC